CCCCCCCCCCCCCGAAAGGAGTCACGACGGAACCATCATCCCGTATGAGCACGTCGAGGCGCAACTGAGTCGGCCTGTCCTACACATGCTCGTACGCAGCGACGATAACCCGACCCGCGCTATCCCGCCGACGATGATACCAGGACGCGATCTTGGAACTCGGACTCGTCCTACAACCCGGACTATTTCACCCCTATAATAAACGAGCTCATAAGGACACGATATCCCTGTCACACGGAGAATCGGTTATGTCCACGGGAATTTCACTGTGCCACCACTAGCGACCCTCGGTGCTCCGATTTCCCTTCCCCCGACCACACATACTACTTTACCCACCCGGGATTCGTTGAGATCACCACCAGTTTCCCTCCTTTCCGCCTCCTTCTCCCATATCATCAACTCAGTGTCGTCACGTGACCCGCCATAGCCCCCTACTGGCCCAATACGTTTTGTGTGAACTGCCGACGTAGCGGCGGACAGAGAACTCCGGAATTCCGAAGGCCCAACCCGCGCGCGCGGCGACCTGCGCCACATGGCGGCCCCCGACGGCCTAACTTTTCAGGACCACCCCCACCACGGAGGGATTTCCCCGTAACCCGTCACCCACAGTGCCCCGGCCCCACCAGACCGTGAGTCCCTGGCGCACGCACCCTGACTTGCCTAATTGCATTCATACCCTTAAGACTCCCCCACTTTCCCCAAAAATCCTTGGCACACCCCTTTTCGCACTTCCAGGCCCACATCCCACTCCGATCAGGAAGTCGCGCTGGGCGTGAGGTTGGGCGTCACAATGCGCGAAAGCAATTGACTTGCTTCATCGGACCAACACGGGGGACTTCAGTTCTATCTGTGTCCCCACACTCAATTTCCCAAAAATCCTTGGCACACCCCATCTTGCTGTTTTTCTGGGCCTCTTTCCGCACAACTAACACTCCGAACGAAAGACAGCACAGGGCGTGAGGTTTTGCGCGTTACACCGGGTAGTGGCCCCGGTACTGCAAATTCTCATTTTTTTTTCAAAATCCTATGTAATTTTCCATATGGGACGCTGGGCCCGGTTCCCAGCACGTGTTGCTCCCCACGAATAGATTGGAGCTTTGTTCCCCAAAAAAAAATAAAAATGTAAGGGACATATCATAGGTCTACTAGGGGTATATGGCTTCCCAAACCAAGTAGCAACTCCCGAGGGATGGTTAGTACCACTTATATCGGCCAATGAAGAGCAAACTAATAAAATGATATATGTAACTATATATAGAGGCTTCCACACCAATAAGTCACGTTTACCGACCATGAGTCATAACAGCAAGTTCAAACATGGGTAATGAAAATTATACCTATAGTGGTAACCTGGTGTCGAACTCCCTATCCGGGAGCACTGAGGAGAACCGCACCAGCGTGGATATTCTTCAGGTTCAACAAGCTTGACCGTCGTTTGGAACCTCCGATGGGAGAGGTTGAGTGTACCAGGTCACTCTATGAGAGGATTACCCCATCTTCTTCGAAGATGTTGCTATTTCTGTATGAAACACAGCATTACCTCCCTAAACCACCATAGCTCAGCCATGGCGGTTAGGCCACCCAACAGTAACCGCATGGAAAACACTCATTACTGTACCGTCGAGACTACCGAGGCGAGAAGGGCGGTATGCGCTGTCCACCTCGGTGCCTGGGACCTAACAAGGTAGTAGAGCGAAACTCGCGTAACCCTAGCGCGAATTAGCGCAGGATTAGGGCAAGTTTGGCGCTACCGGCCCTCCGCCATCTCTTTGTTCCGCTGGCCCCCCCCCACATGTTTATCAGAGTGGGAGGTGCAGGAAGCATTGGCCCAAAGTAATACTCTACTTGTAGTCTCTAGGGATTGAGCAGGACAGGGGTGACCGCAGGTGCCTAGGTGCGTGGAGATTTCGAGGGGAGAGGAGAGAACAGGTTGGCCGTGCATGCAGCAGCCATTGCTTTAGTGCCACGCCCGTTGGCTTTGGCAGGCTGGTTCATCCGAGCCAGTCCCGTCCTGCACACGTGCACTGCCCAACTCTTAGGATGTAGGGGTGGTTCAAGAGAGGGAGCTGTCTTGATGACCTAGCCTCACCTCACTTGGGCTGGTGGACAAATCAACCCTGTTCCCTCCTCACAGGAAGCACTAGTGTAGATTTGTGTATTGGCTGGGAGTATCGCGTGCTGGAACTGCGTGCAGAGTCCCAAATAACACATTTTCATCATCAACGGTCTTTTCCCTACCACCTACACCGTCCCCCCCCCCCCCCCCCCCCTCCCCCCTCTCCTGGCTAGGGGATTCTCTCCTATAGATTGCTGAGGGATGCAGCTTTATTGGTCGCCGGCTATTGGGGGAATTAATCGTCTGAGTCTGTCACCCCTCGCCCCTTCCTCGCCTCCAGTCGGATCCGCAACCTGCCCTTTCCCGTCTACCCATCTTCCCCCGAAAAAACGTACTGTCATTATGGCCGAATCTAGACTGAAAACTGTCCAAAATACATCTATAATGACGGTACTTTGTATTCGGGGAAAGACGCGCCTCGATGCCCTGCAGGGCTATGCCATCACATCATACCGCTCCTCTTTTTTTCCTTTTTCTTTTTTTCTTTTTTTCTTTTTTCATTCCTCATTTTCTTGTTGCCTCCCATTTATTTCCTTCTTGATTGGTGGGGGCACTGCCAGGCAGCGAAGCATGGCCCATACGCCCTTCCCCCAAAAAAAAATAAATATATATATATATATATCGTCACAAACAGATATATAAATAAATAAATACGAGGAACGGCCCCTATATATATATATATATATCGTCACAAAAATAAATAAATACGAGGAACGGCCCCTAACAGGCCTGTATACTATAGCCCCCGATGTTGTTTCCTGCCACCGACCGCAAATCGCGTGCCTGTCTTGATGTCGGCTTCAGCCCCTGCACACAGGAAACCTGCAGGCTTCTCTTTCTTTTTTCTTTTTTTTTCTTTTCTTTTTGTTTGGCAATCTGCAGGCTTGCCTCTTTTCCGCGCTGCGTTGCTGACTGTCAGTACCGTTTTTCCTTCAAATCTTCTGACTGTCTGTCCTTTCTTTCCACAGACTCTGTCCTCCGACTGTCTGTCGCTGGTATGTCTCCGTCCTGTGACTACAGCTTTTCTTTTTCTCGTCCTTTTTTTTGTTTTTTTAATCCGGCTGGTCAGCGTAGGGCAGTCGACCTTTTTAGTAGGTCTGTATGAATGCACCTGGTCGTCTATTCGTCCACGTACTTACACGCACCTGATTCTCAGCCAGACCAGCCACGTTCTGACACTGTCAGTAGCACTCTGGTCATATCTGACGACAGGTCATGAAGCCGCAAACTACCTACAAAGGCGTACTCTCTCTCTCTCTCTCTCTCTCTCTCTCTCTCTCTCT